GCTGTGGACACTTGCTGATCGCCAGGGTCACATTTGATTCCTGATTCTTTCTGAAACAGCCAAGATTCTGGCTCCTGCGTGGGCACAACTTCAGATGGGAACTCAGTCCTAGGAATCAGGATAACCTATCATCTGTTAACTGCCACCTGTAAGTGATGCACTTGAGAAACAGGCCTGAAATGCAATTCCTCCCCACCTTCCGCTCCATTGTCACCTCTTAGAACCCTCTGCTTCTACCAAGCTTTAGCTCATATGCTAGTTTTCTTCTACTGGAATACTTCCCTGCCTCTCCCACATCTTCCCCCTCTCCCAAAGTGTTAGTTCTCTCCCCCTCCTGGAATTTCTTGATATATGCTTCATAAAACCATAGACTCATAACTGACTTCCAAATTCATCTAATCCAGTCTCCTCATTTTGCAGATAAGGAAACTGAGATCAGGAATTGAATTAAATTGCCCAAGATCCTCCAAGTCATAAGCAGCAGAACTGGGATTTAAACCCTAAGTTTAAACCCAATACTCTCTACTACACCATGCAGTGTGCATATTGTATCCATCCGTTAGAATGTAAGCTCTCTGAGGGCAGGGATTGTTTCATTTTTGTCTTTGTATCCGCAGTGCCTACCACATTATGTCCCTGCCTGGAACGCAACAGATATCTAATGCAGTGGTATCAAACTCAAATAGAAACAGGGACCATTAAACCATACATAAGGATACCTACTGGCAGCATATTGACTTAGAAAACCACATATTAACATGACATATATGCTATTGTATTTTTAATTATTTTGTTAAATATTTCCCAAATACATTTTAATCTGCTTAGGCCACACCAGGGAGTGTTGCAGGCCCAAGGGGTGTGTGTTTGACACCTCTGATCTAATGAAAATTTGTTGTTGAACTGATTTGACTATAGTATATGGTATTGACTCCAAGAGAGATGTCATATTGGGACCTACCAAGGGGAAGGCAGTCACTCCATTGTCCCCACAAAATTAAACAATGCCTTTCTGCATTGTTTACACTATCTCACTCTGAAGGATGGTCTTCAAGAAAATTATTCCTTCTTTCCCCTTGTCACTGCAAGTTTTTGTTCACTAATGTATTCTGAGCCTTCCTCTATGCCTCAAGAGTTTAGCATGGTGTGGTAGAAAGAACACTGGACTAGAAGGCAGACGACTGGGTGTCTTTCTACAGCCAATTGTGAAATTGTACTTCAGCTCCTTCTTGGATCTGATGGAAACTTTATGTCTTTCAGAGACAACTTGAGCCATTCCAAGTACCATCCTCCAATATTCTGCCAAGACCTAAAATGACTTTTCTTATAATAGTCAAACCCTGGGGAGTAAAGTAGACAATACTCCTCAGTTCCTTAATGGTTAGAGTCCTTTGAAACCTTCATAATGATTCTGTTAACACACACACACACACACACTTCAGGTAGAGGAGTCACCACCACCCCCGGAAGTATCTAGTATATACTGTCAAACTCCTTAAGATCTTAGTTTCACATTGTTCTTTCAAGCTAGAAGAAAATCATACAGTCTATACCTGCAGTTAGTAGCCTTCGGCCTTGAGACCACATGTGGCCCTCTAGATCCTTGGGTGTGGCCGTTTGAGTCCAAGTTTTACAGAACAAATCCTTTTATTAAGGGGATTTGTTCTGTGAAGTTTGGACAATTTGAGGACCTAGAGGGCCACATATGGCCTCAAGGACCCAGGTTCTCCATCCCTGGTCTGGACCCCTCCTCTTACTGATCAGAAACAGAGTTTTCTTTTCTATTCTAAGCTTGGTAGAAACTAGAATGGTGTCAAAAAATACAGGTTTTTTTTAAAAAAAAAATATAGTTCTTTAAAACTAGAATGGAATCAAAAATATAGTTCTTTAAAATACACACATACACAGAGTTCTCCCTCAGGAAGGATCTAGTATGTACTGTCAGATTCCTTAAGATACTTAGTTTCACATTTCTCTTTCAAGCTAGAAGAAAATAATACAGTCTAGAGTAGACCCCTCATTTTACAGATCTGAAACAGTTTTCTGTTCTAAGCTTGGTAGAAACTAGAATGGTATCAGAAATATAGTTCTTTAAAGTACACACACACACACACACACACACACACACACACACACACACACACCCCTTTCTACAGAATTTAAACAAGTCATGTGTCCTGTCCTCCAATCCTAGAGATTAGGTTTCAGAAAAGCATTATCCCTGCAAAACCAGGAGGTACAACAGTTATTGCCTTCATTCTGCACTGGCTGACCTCCCTTCTCACATCCCCCTAGTGTCCTCCCATACCTACTGTTTGAAGAACTCAAGAGTTCAAGTCACTTTGCCAACAGACACACATATATTAAAGCTGAGTTCCTAAAAGTTGCCTTTCTGAAAAGTCATAGCCTCATAGGAGGCAGGCTAGGGCACTGTCCTCATGTGCCTCATTCCTTTGGCCTTGACTGATCCTTCTGGACCCTCCAGGTGAGTTTCCCTGGGAGAAGGGATACTAGGGGACTGGATCAGAAGGGTAATCCATAGGTAGGTGCCTTCAGCAGTCAATCACCTGGCTATTCAATAAATTCCAGTGGCTCCCTATTGCCTCCAGGATCAAATACAAAATGTTCTTTTGGCAGTCAAAATCCTTCATAACCTAGGCCCCTCCTCCCTTTCTAGTCTTGTATTTTTCAACCTGGTGATACTGGCCTCCTGGATAGTCCACCAACAAGACACACAATCTCTAGACTCCAGGCATTTTCCCAGCTGTCCACCAAGGCTGAAACACTCTCCCTCGTCCTCTCTGACTGCTGACCTCCCTGGCTTCCTTTAAGTCCCAACTAAAATCCACCTTCACCAGGAAACTTGCCCAAACCCTCTTAATTTCAGTTCCTTCTCTGTATTATTTCCTATTTATCCTGTACATAGCTAGCTTTGTATATAACATGCTGCGTCACCATTAGATTGTAAGCTCCTTGAAGGGACTGCCTTGCCTCTTTGTGCAATTCCCAGCATTTAGCACAGTGCCTGACATTTAGTAAGCACCGAATAAATGTTTATTGACTGATTAACTCCCTCTAGGGCATGAGTTACCATGCGTTACCATTTAACCCCTCAATTCGGAGTGTCAGTTGTAGAAAGCAGAAGAGGGAGAAGTGCTGTTACTATTTACATCCACTGACCCCTTCGTCATTCAGAATGTTAGAGCAGGAAAGATCCTTAGAAGTCATCCTCTTTTTATGGATGAGAAAACTGAGACCCAGAGAAACCAAGTGACTTACTCAAGCTCATACAGTTAATAATAGAAGTGGGACTCAAATTCTGAGCTGCTAGATGGCGAAAAGAGCAGCGTGTCTGGCCCCGAGTCAGAAAGACTCACCTTCCTGAGTTCAAATCTGGCCTCAAACACTTACTACCTGTGTAACCCTGGGTAATTCATTTAACCTTGTTCGCCTCCGTTCCTCATTTGGAAAATAAGCTGGAGAAGGAAATGGGGTCCCGAGGAGTCGGACGGGACTGAGTAACAAAAAATTTCTTCTCTCTTATATGGCTCGGGTCTGGGAAGCATATTATTAGGGAAGGAAGAGCCTCTGGGGAGTAAGAAAATCTAAATTCCAGTCCCAGTTCTGTCACTAACCAGTTATTTGACTGCGGGTAAGTCACGTGGCTTCTCTGGGCCTCAGTTTCCTCATTCATAAAAAGATGACTAACCTAACCCCCTTATAACACCAAGATGCTCTCCTCGTTCTTCCCACTTGGTATTGTCCGTGGCCAGCTTCCTCCTCTGCTTTGTCTGGAAGTCCCAGGTAAATTCCCAGATCTGCGACGTCAGGGCGTGGGTGGTAAGAAAAAAGGGAAGCATCTGCTGTTCCGAAACAACTTTGGGGCTGAAGGGGGCCAGAATGGGGGAGTCTGCTGGCCCTTTAAAGGGGGGGGACAGGGAACGCATGCGCGCGGAGTGCCAGGGCTGGAGACAGAGACACCGGGCGGAGTCTGGAGTCTGGAGCGGGGTGGGGGGGTGGAGCAGCTGGGGTACGCCGCGGCAGCTTTGCCCTTGTTCCCAGAGGCGGCGACAGCAGTGGCAGTGGCAGCAGCATTCAGGCCATAGAGGACGCAATGGGCATATGAGCTCCCATCCCCTTCCGCTGCACCCCATGGACTGCCAGGGACCCGGGAGCAGCGTCGCTCCCTCCCGGGGCTTTGTGGCTCGCCTCTGGCAACATCCGCTGGCTGCCGCAGCTGGAGCCTGAGTCTCTCTTTGCAACCCTACCCCCATCCTCCTTCTTCCCCTCTGTCCTTCTCTCTCCACCCCTTTGCCCAGCAAGTAGGAGCCTGAGCCCCTCCTGCGCGTCCGCCACCCTGCCCTGCACCCGAAGCATCCTTCCCTCTCTTTCCTCTCCTTTCCACTCTCCGGGTAACCGCGGGCATCGCCTCCCGCTGCCTCCCATGCTGCATCCAATCCCGGGCGGCGCCCCAGTGGCCGCAGCTCGGAGCTTGGTGACCTCAGCCGGGCTCTCCGTCTGGCCCCTTTCACCCTGCTTAAGCCCTACCAGTTGAGTTGGGGCAAGGGACTTGTACAGGGGAAGCTCTAGAATGGCATCAGTGGGGGAGCCTGGCACAGTGAAGTCACCAACCTCCCGCTAGCAAAGGAAGGGTGGAAACACGAAGGGTCTTCTTTATATTGCCTTATGTTCCTCTCTGCCCTATCGCCCTCCCCCATTACTTCCCTCCTTCCTCTTAAAAAAAAAATCATAATTCCCACCGCTGCGGGTTTTGTTGCTGTCTTGGGAGGGGTGAAGAGGCAGCGAGCGGTCGTACCGGAGACAAAGACCACTTTGTAAAGGTAGTTGGACCGGGTGGGATGCGTGTTTGCCTGTCCCTCGCTCCTTGTGGTGCCCACTTCCCTGTACGGTACAGCCGTGTATCCTCTCTTTGCTATCCATCCCCAGAGGGAAATAGCCAGTCCCCCCACCCTCCCCCCCATCTCTCGGCCCTCCCTCCCCCCTCCCCCCTCCGCCCAGTCCCGTCTCTCTCGGAAAAAAAGCTGCCAGCAGATAGTCTGTTCCTGAAGCCGACTGGTCCATGAGAGCCTTGGTCCCTCGGGCTAATGTCGTCTTGTGTGCCTTGTGGAGGAATTTATTCTTCCTGAAGCCGGAACTGAGGGGCACTAAGTCAGTGCTCACTGACTTGCCCTGTCCTTTTGAAGCTGATCTGAGCTGTCAGGCTTCTGGTCCGTTAGACTTTTCTTTAAGCTCAGGCTTGTGTCATTGTTCTTCCAGAGAGCTTTGGGCTGTACAGACTGTCTGTGCTTATGTGCAGGCCTCTTAGGCTATGTTTTTTTTAGCCGCCTCTGTTTTCTTTTTAACAAATCCAAGTATTACTGCAAGGTTGATCCCAGACCACCAAGAACCTTTCTGCCCTGGAGTGTACCCTGATACTTCACTGATTCTATCTTTTTAAAAAATTATTGTTTTATTATAAATGAACCACACCCTGATTTCTTAAAGGGGCCCTACACTCTGGTGGGTCATGTGTTGTCTCTCTGGCAGTGAGTGAGTCAATTCAGTTCATAGTTTCCTGTGAACTACCTAATTTTCCTTTTCTGGAAACATTTTTTTTAAGAGTTTGGGATGCCTGGGGGGAAAAAGGTGGGCCCTAGTGGTGCCATTGCTGCCTCTGGGGTCAGGAGATCTGAAACCAGTGAAGGGGCCTCAGCACAGAGGGAAGAAGAGCAAGAGGAAGAAGGGGATGAAGACCTCCGAGATGGAGGTGTCCCCCTTCTTTGTTAACCGGGGTGGGCTGCCTGTGGATGAGGCCACTTGGGAAAGGATGTGGAAACACGTGGCCAAGATTCACCCTGATGGAGAGAAGGTGGCACAGAGGATCCGAGGGGCCACAGACCTTCCCAAGGTGAGTCAGTGTGGAACTCTTTCTGAGTTAAAGCTAAAGGGTCATGTGGGGTTCTTGAACTAAACAGACCCAAACGCTATGAAACCTGAGCCAAATGCATGCATAAAAGGAGTAACTGGTGATTTGAGTGACAGAGAGAGGTCCCACCTGTCGGGAATATCTTCTCCACCAGCACCAGTGTCTGAAATGTTTACAATTTAGATCTTCTTTGAGTTTCAGGCACTATGTCTCCAAAAGGGCCTATTAAAATACACCTATGTGAATTGGGAGTGATAAGACATTAAGCCCTATAACTCATCCACCAAGCATGAATTAAGCCAAACTGGGGTGGGAATGGTGGGGAGAGGTTGGACAAGAGGGAAGAGAGAGTTTCCTGTCATATAAGTTTAGTTTGGATGACTTCTTGTCTAGAGGTCCACAGGGGATTTAGAATGGTATAAAGGGGAGATAGAAAAGTGTAGAGATGAGAGGTATAGAGAGTTGTCATGCTTTGATTGGACTAAATGACCCGGGAGTGGGGGGGAGCAGGCAGTGTTAGAATTTCTTTAGGTTCTTTAGCCCAGGTCCCTGCAGAATAAGATACAGGCAAGTCCTTTTGGGAGTGAGCAGAAGTTGGGAAAGGTAGCTAGAGAACTGAATAAGTGTCCTGATCACCAGGGTTTGGATTACTAAAAGAGGAATAAAGGGGGAAAGGAAGAGTCCAAGAGTGGAAGGAAGAACAAACAGACACTAAACATAAATTACACCTGTTTGGCCAGGGTAAATTGGTGGGAGATACAGCCTCCATCAGATAGATATCCACAGATTATGACACCTTACAAAAGCAGATAGCATTGTGTCTAGATTGTATTGTACAAAATGCCTTGCCTTGTTCATTCATTTTTCAGTCATGGTGTCTTATTTTTCATGACCCCATTTGGGGTTTTCTTGGCTAGATACTGGAACAGTTTGCCATTTCCTTCTCCAGCTCATTTTACAGATGAGAAAACTGAGGCAAATAGGGTTAATCGACTTACCCAGGGTCACACAGCTAGTAAGTGTCTGAGGCCAGATTTGAACTCAGGTCTTCTTGACTCCAAGTTCTATCCACTTTGCCACCCACTAAGTGCCTAACATCAAATGAGTTCTGGATAAATATTCTTTGATGATAGAGTTATTGTGAGACCTAGGAAGACCACTCTCCATTACACACATACACACACACACACACACACACACACACAGAGGATAGAAGACCTGATATGGAAAACTGGTTAGGAAAAGGTCATAGCTGAATGCTTAGCATTGAATAGGATAACAGAGCCTCATGTCTAAAAGGACAGCTGGCATTATCAGAAGTATCTGAGGTTGGGGCTTCTCATCCTTACATAGGTGTAGCATAAGTATCTAAAGAGACTTGCCACCCCAAGTCTGCTGATTGGGGGCCTAGTTTTGGGGTAAATGCTTTGGGTCAAGAAGATTTTTCTTCTTTTTTCAAATGAGGATTGAGGCAGGGCCACCATGGAAAATCACCCACCAAGTGGTGTCAATTTACCTGTGAGGAACAGTGATCAAAGATTTGGGATTCCAGGGCATCAGATATTCCTTCTAAGTAAGGTTGGTTGTAAACTCTGAAAGAGGTTTTAAACTGAGACATGGCTCTTTGATGGAGAGGTGTTGGTGGATTGGTGACATTTTTTCTCAGGTGTCTTTCATCAGAAAGAGGCCCACATCTGGCCAGAGCATGATTCTAATGAGGTAAAAACCATCCTGATGTATTAGAAAGCACTCTAGACTGGGAGACCTGGGTTCTAGTCCCGATTTTATCACTAATGTGTCATGAAGTGACTTTTGCAATATCATACCTCTCTGAGCTTCAGTTTCCTCATCTGGGAAATGAAGGGCTTATGTTAGATGACCTCTAATAACTAGTATGGTTCTAACATTCTATGGTTTTTTAGCATGCCTCAGTCAATCAACTAACAAGCATTTATTAAGTGTTTACTATGCAGCAATGTGCTAAGGATACAAAGAAAAATCGAAAACGTTCCCTATTCTCAAGAAGCTTACATTTTAATGGAGGAGACAACATATATACATGAGAACATAAAAGATAAATGCAAGTAATCTTAGAAGGGATGGCATTATCACCTGAAGGGGACCAGGAAAGGCCTTCTGGAGGAGGTAGTGCTCAGGGTGAGTCTTAAGGAAAGCCAGGTGTTGAGGGAGGAAGTGCATTCCAAACATGGGAAATAGCTGGTGCAAAGGCATGTCGATAGGATGTAGAGTGTCATGTGTGAGAAATGACAAGTGGGTTAGAATGGCTAGATCACAGAGGGCATGAAGAAGACAAGCAAGGTAAGAAGGATGCAGGTTATAAAGAGCTTTAAGAGCCAAAGGACCTTCTCTTTGATCCTGGAGATAATAGGGAGCCATTGGAGTTTATTGAGAGGAGAGAAGGTCTGATCATCAGACCTGTGCTTTAGGAATGGAACCACTGATTCTATTCTCATGTGAGTGACTCATGTGACTCATGTGAGTTTTGAACAGATAACTCCAGGCTGTATCCAGGCCCTAGCCAGCTGTTAAACAGAGGTATAAAGTTAGTTGCAAAGGGTACTGGGGAATGGAACATGAACATCTAGGCACAAACCTAACACCATCATTGGAAAAAAATAGTTGTTACCAGCACTTCAGTTCAGCAGGCGCTAAAGCACATGCTTCGTGCAAGGCATTGTGTTAGTCTGGTGATTCAAAAATTACGATGAAACAGGCCCTACCCTTAAGGAGCTTGTCTATTCCACAGGTAGTTGGCTTCAAATATAAGAAGGGCAGCACACTGGATTACTGGAGTTAATGTTGAGTTCGTTGGTGTGTTCTTATTTTGGTTTTGGGGTGAGAGGTGAAGATGGAGGATTAGAAGGAGTTTTGGAGAGGGTCAGAAGGATTTGAATCTCCTCCACCAACAACTTTTGAGCACAGAAAAGTAGCACAGCCTGGAGACCAAAGTAAAATTGCCTCAGGTCTGGTTTTGGCATCCACACTTCCCTGTACTGGAAATAGATATCTCCTGCTCCATCTCCTAGGCCAAAGGGAACCAGTGATCTAGGTAGCACAGTGTTAAAGTGCTAGGCCTGGAGTCAGGAACTTCAAATCCAGCCTCAATACTTACTGGCTTCGTGACCTGGGCAAGTCACTTAAGCTCTGTCTGCCTCAGTTTCTTCATCTGTAAAATGGAGAAAATAATAGCACCTACTTCCCAGGGTTGTTGTAAGGATCAAGTGTGATATTTATAAAGCACTTAGCACAGTACCTGGTACACAGGAAGCACTATATAAATATTAGCTGTCTAGGGAAAGTTTGAAAGGGAAAATGTCAGCTTAGGGGGGTTGATGCTAATAGTGGTAGAAAAGCAGCCTGCTGTAAGTGAATCAAGGGCTCTGGAAGATCTAGGTTCAAATCCTACCTCTTAGAACATGCTAGTTATGGAACCATGGGCAAGTCATTTAACTTTTTAGTGTCCTAGGCAACTCTCAAAGACAAGTTAGAGAAGAGATGCCAATGCTGATCTGCATTGGTAGAAGGAATTTTCTTGTTGAAATCATTGGTGGTGGGGGCGGGGATGCTTAAAGTGGTAGCTTTATAGACTTTCCACTTAGAATGAGATTAAAATCACAGAATGATAAAACTGCAAGGGACTTTAGGGATCTTTTAGTCCAATTTCCTTCTCTTCCTCCCCCTCTTCCCCTCCTCCTTTTCCTCCTCCTCCTTTTTCTTCATATTCATCTTCTTCATTTTGTAATTCTTCTCCTCCTCCTTCTCTTCTTCTTTTCCTCCTTCTCCCCCTTCCTTTCTCCATCACCCTTCCCTATCTTCTTCTTTCTCCTCCTCCCCCTTTCCCATCCCCCTCCCCCTTCTCCTCCTTCATTTTTCCTTCTCCCTCCTCCTCCTCCACCTCCCCCCCTTCCCTTCCCTTCCCTTCCCTTCCTCTTCTTCCTCTTCTTCTTTTTCCAAATAAGGAAAATGAAGCGCAAATAAGTTGAATAATTCAACCAAAGTCACACAGCTAATTAGTGACGAAGCTGGGACTAGAATACCTAACTCTGTGCAGTGCTCAAACAATAGTCCATTAAGCATGAAACCCAAATGCCTTAATCTAAAAAAGAGCAATGAACTATCAAAGAATCCATGTGCACTAGGGCTGGAAGGGACCTTAGAGTTCCCATAGTACAGTAAGCTCATTTGATAAATGAGGCAACTGAAGTCCAGAAAGGTGAAGAAATTTGCCCAAGTCCCAAGAGGTACAGGAGATGGCTTTAGTAACATTCTTCTTTCTTTCCCCTACTATATGCCTAATCTTGGTGCCCTTATTCATTTGTTCTGTGTTCAAGGGATTTTAAAAGTGCTAATAAGTGCAAATGACTTAATATTAAAACCAAATAAATTATTAATAAATAGCACTTAAGTGTATAGATTTAAACTAAATTAGAAAGGGTAACAATGTGTAAACAGTGCTTTAACTACTAACTCCAGTTTTATCTTTAAATGAATATAATCTTTTGGAAATCCCTAAGCCTACCAAGAATCTCTGGCACCTCCAACAGCCAAGCACTCAATTAGAGGCTGTTTAGCAGGGTCAAGGTTGATGCTTCTTCACCCTCATCACCTTCTAGTCCTGGAGAAGCCTGGGTCTGCTTTCACCATCCAGACATTATCAGGGACAGCCCTATCAAATTGTGGGGGAAGTGGTTAATGGTAGACAGTTCTCCATATTGTGACTCCATCAGTCCTTGAGGTTGATTTTCACTCTTTCCCTTGTGATAGTTCTCCTTCCCCTCTCCACTTCTGTCTTATTTCTTGAACATCATTGATGGTGTCAGAAATAGAAAGGAAAATAAAATCATAACTGACATTTACATAACATGTTGAAGTTTGCGAAGGACTTCTGATTATCTCATTTGAACCTCAGAACAGCTTTCAGAGGTAGGCACAAGAGGTATTATCTCCATTTTACAGAGGATGAAACTGAGGGTCTGAGAGTTAAGTGACTTGTCCATGGTCACACATCTAGTAAGAATCAGAAGTAAGGTAGACTTCCTGATCTTCATCAGCTATAAGAAAACGTTTGCCTGAGTCGGTGAGACAGTACTGGTGGGAATCTTTCCTGTTTCAGCATCATTCACAGACAGACTTCTGGACCTCTTTACTATGTGATATGTGTGTGTGTGTGTGTCTGTGTGTATTGTGTGTGTATTGTGTGCTCTTGAGCCTGGCTACCTGCCTGCCTTTACAGAAAGGTTTGTGAATCGTTCTTGTTTCCCCTTAGGAATACTTGAGGAATCAACCTACAATCTTATGTAGAGTTCCATTCATAGAACTGGAAGGGACTCTAGTGATGATCTAGTCCAGGGCTGGAGAACCTGAGGCCTCAAGGCCACATGTGGCCCTCTAGGTCCTCAAGTGCAGCCCTTTGACTGAATCCAAACTTCACAGAACAAATCCCTTTAATAAAAAGATTTGTTCTGTAAAACTTGGACTCAGTCAAAAGGCCACACACAAGGACCTAGAAAGCCACATGTGGCCTCAAGGCTGAAGGTTCCCCACCCCTGATTCTAGTCCAATCATCCCCTCTTCTAATCTTTCATTTTCAAGACAAGGAAATAAGTTTCACAAAGGAGAAAAAACTAGAACCCAAGCCTAAACTCTGGTCTCATTATCTATAAAATTAGAGGATTAGACCAGGCAACATCTAAGATCTATTCCAGCACCAAATCCTTTTGCCTGGCCTGACTCACAGATGTGTTTTAAGAATTAAATGAAATGATGCGTATGAAAGCATTTTGACAGCTGTAAAACGCAACATAAACATAAGGTGTTGATGGGAATGGTGGTGGTGGTGGTAGTAGCTATCACCTTGCACTCCACCAATCTGTGTAGGTTGTATTCATTTGGAGTGACAAAAGGTAGATCTACAGTGGTCCTTAGATCACTTGGCATGGGGAAAGGAAGGCCTCAGACCTTCAGTTCTGTTGACTTATGACAGCAGCCATGTCAGTAGAGAAAGGGAAAAAGAAAGCAGAAGCTGCTTCTCCCCAGCAGAGATGTCATCTGTTAGGGGAGCCAAATCTGTTGCTAGGGACAACCCAGGCAGGAGCTGCTGCCACAGGGAGGGAACAGGACAGAAGGCCAGTATTGCAACAATAGCTATGGAGCCCCTGCCCTCCTACATTTCAAAGCTTTTCCATGTGTATCTATCAGAGGTTGAAGGGAGAGCATTAATCTACTAACCTCTGTGACTGTCATAGCTTACTTCCCTTTCTCTGCTAAAGTCCAGCCTCTCTCCAGGCAACCCCAGTTATTTAAAGGTTTTGAGGAAGAGAATAATAAAACCTCACCACTATGGGGTGGTCTAGGTCCTTCTCTGTCTCTCTCTACTTCAGGTTTCTTCTTACACTTCCCTTTATTCTAGATATGTTGGACTGCATCACTCCACAGTCACTAGCTCTTCTTCTGGGTAGCCACTAGATCTGGGGTTGAAAATCCAGGGAATTTGCTGGTCCACAGTCTTGGATCTGGGCAAAGACTGCATGATAGAGGAGATGCCCAAGACTGCTGTGGCATCATCTGGCAATAGAGGAGCCAGGGATATGTGGGATGGTAGGGAATGACCCTTATATTAGTGCAGGGAAACCCAAAGTGGGATGGACTTTGTTCCCAGTGTAAGCTATAGTTGGAATTTGGATTCTTTAAATGGGAAGGGGTCTGTCTAGCTAGCCTATATCCTGTGTCATACTTGTCTTTTTGGGTTAGCTATAATACTTGGGTTATGTGAGACCTTCCCATCTTCTGATTTATTTTTTTTCCCAGACAAATTGTGGGTCTTAAGGATTTGGAGGGGAAGGAGGGGAATCTCAGAGAGAAGGCATTGACTGAAAATAGCCTCTAGTAGGAAGGCTAAGACTTTCATTTCCTGCCCCCCCCCGAGAGACTTCAGCATGAAATGTGAAAAGGATAGAATCCAAGGAAATTTGGTGGCCAAACTGACCCAACTTTAACCTCGCCTATTGTGTCTGCTACACAGTATTTTCCTGTGACTCACACTGAGTCAGTCCCGAGCTTCCAGTGAGATTCTTCCACCCATCAAAAGGACTCCTATACTATTCTTCCTGTCTTAAATCCAGCGTCTGCCTATTCTCAAGATCCTTCCTAGGAGAGATTCCAGGGCTAGAGTAGCCTAGGATGCCCCTTCTGACAAAGGTTCTTTCCCTATTCCCCATAACCCTTAGTGATGGAACCAAGACACTGGAGAGAAATAGATGCAGTCATTGATAGAGCCAGGTGATTCATTTTCCTGGTGGTGGTCTCTGTGCCTTATGGATGCCATGAACCACATCAGTGGTATAATAAGAAGTCTTGTCAAAAGACAATGTGAAAAGCAGGGATAATCTATATATTCGTCTTTTGAGGCCACAGGAAGACCTCTCTGACCAAAATACATCTCCCTCCCTTTTCACCATCTCTCAGTGTACTAGGATATCAAATATTCTCATCATTAGTTATTGTTTTAGATTGATGTATCATACTTCCAGAAAACCACTGATATAATTTACCCATGTTACCTGGGAGGGGATAACATATTAATTCATACACACTCACACAAGAGCATGAATTTGTTCATCAGACAGATGAGCAGACTGTCATCTGGCACAGGGCAGGTCCCAGATAGCATGCTACAGAGAGCAAATATGTTTTAATGTAGCTAAACTCAAACACAGAACAAATTTCACTGTTTTGGTCCCCAGAGGGTGAGAAAGGAGGAAGATGAACCCAGTTAAGGAAAAAAACTCCACCTAACAATGCAAAGGCAGCCACAGCTTCAGAGTTGCCTAAGGCACTGAGGCTAAGTGACTGGCCTATGGTGCCATAGCTAGTCTGGGTCAGGGGTGGGATTTGATGTTAAGTGTTTATAACTCCAAGACCATCTCTCTAATTCTCTCTGCTGTGTTGTTTCTCTTGTGTTTCTGAATTCAGATATTAAATTTCTACAAAATAGCATGAATCCAATAAAAGGGGTTTTTTTAATCCCAGTGAACCAGTTTGAGTTGTACCCAAGCATGTTCATTTCTAAAACTATTTAATCAAAACAAAACTGAAATTCAAATATTCAAACCAGGTCAGTGTTTTGTTCCACATGAGTCTCAGTTGTTGATAGCTGAGGTCTGGGAAAAGAGGCTCTGCCCATGGTAGGTAAGTCTGGATGGTGATGCTATGGGAGAGGAGAGGGGGGGAGAGTACCTACCTGGTAGGAGAGGAGAGGAGGGGGCAAGCGGGATCAGGAGACAGCACCAAAGGAAAGGTTGTTGTTTGTTCTTCATTCTCAAAGGGGACCAGGACATCAGGGAAGTGATGCCAAGACATGCAAGTGAATTGGATTTAAGTGAGGCAGAGCTGTGCAAAGTCACCAGCCTCGATTTTCCTCCAGAGCCATTTGGGTCCCATGGCAAGATATAGATCAGGACAACTGGAGATGGCTCTGGGTGCAGTGGGAGACCTTGGGCTTTTTTAAGCCAAGGTCTTTAACAGGTTTCAGTTTGACTGAATCGATGCCCATTCAGTGATTAAGGCTAGGTAAGAAATGAGGCAGAGAATGTCTTTACATAGTAAAAAAAAAAATCAATGTGGGAGGGAAAGTCCCTTAGAGTTTCTGGCCAAAACAGAAACAATTGGTATTTGCATTCACTCTGAGCCAATCTGGGCTCAAACAATGACCAAGTGAGCCTTGGCCTGGGATCTATGGTTGGCCAATCAACATGGACTGAGAAAAAAGTAAGAAAGAAAAGAAAGAAAAGAAAGAAAGAAAGAAAGAAAGAAAGAAAGAAAGAAAGAGAGAAGAGAAGAGAAGAGAAGAGAGAAAGAAGAGAAGAGAGAGAGAGAGAGAAAGAAAGAAAGAAAGAAAGAAAGAAAGAAAGAAAGAAAGAAAGAAAGAAAGAAAGAAAAAGAAAGAGAAAGGAAAGAAGGAAGGAAGGAAAATAAGGACACACTGAAAGAGGAGATTGAGTGGTGGGATGGAAGAGATCAATTTCATTCATTTTGTACCTTCTCCTGAAATCAAGCCTGGCTTGACTGGAAGGTTCAAGAACTAAGTTTCCTCTCTCCTTATGACCAGGATTCTATTTCTTTTGTTTCCCCAGACTCCCATACCAAGTGTGCCTACATTCCAGCCGTCCACATCTATCCCTGAGCGCCTGGAAGCCATACAGCGTTATATCAGGGAGCTGCAGTATCCTTTGCCACACTGAGTAGTATTTCTCATGTTCTTTCCCTGGGACCACCCAAGCCTATCCAGAGGAAGGCCCCACTACCTATTGCATTGCCCTGAGATGGAAGCTGAGCCCTGGTCAAGGAGGACATTGGAAAGCAGTTTGTTTTCATCCCATTTTGTTGTGCATTAAATGAGATAATAATTGTCAAGCATTTAGTATCACGTCTGGCAGGTGCTTAGTAAGTGTTTGTTCCCTTCCCCTTCACCTTGTGGGTCCAGTGGATAAAGTGTTGGAATCAGAAGTCCTGAGTTCAAACCAGCCTTAGACATTTACTAGCTGTGGGACCCTGGGCAAGTCCCCTAAACTCTGTTTGCCTGTCTTATTTGTCTTAGCACTTAGCACAGTGCCTGGCACACAGTAGGCCCTATAAATGCTTCTTCCCTTCCCCCACCAATGGGAGAATTGGAATTTTGGATGTCTCTTGAGATACCTTGTAACTCCAGATTCCCCAGTGTTAGGGAGAAAACTGACCATACAGGGGAATTCCTAATTCAGTTCAATTTAAGAAGAATTTATTAAGCTCCTACTGTTTTCCAATCATTGTGCTAGGCTCTGGGGATCCAAAGAGCTGTATGCTTGCATGATACATTTTTAAGTTGAATCTGCATTATTAACATTTTTCCATCACTTTCTCTAGTCCAAACAAAAAACAAAACAGTTTATCAAGCCCTGATCCGTAGCATTGGTAGATTTCTGAGGTGTAAATGCTAACACAACATTTAACAATCAGCTCTGCTGGTTTGAGCTGTCTCCCAGCACACCCCTGGATATAATGACAAAGCAAAACAATTCGTACCTTCAATGAGCTTACATTCTATTGAAGAGAAACAACATATACACATTATGTTATAGAAACTTTGTGTATCAAATATACACAAAGTAACTTTGAGGAATAAAGCGCAGACCTAATAGGAAAAGGAGTTTAACGATAAAATGCAGGCTCCAAATAGCAAAATGGAAGGATAGGAAACAGTAGGAGAGGGACAATGGAGGGGGGTTGTTGGTGTGGATGATTGTGAGAGAGTAGGGAGTGGTGGTCAGAGAAAGGAGCTTTGATTTCACGGACTACCATTGAGCATCACAGGCACTCTTGAGCAGAGCCATAGAGTAGTAGATTGTTGAGCCCTTTACAATAGCAAAGGCAATAACATTGATTTGAAAAAGAGGTTTAAAAAATGAGTTATGCCTATGGCAGAAGAGCTGATGTGTCTAAATGGCAAGCTGGCATTCCCATCCTTGATTTCTCTTTCCTTCTAGGGGAAGCCAAATGGCCCTTAACCTTTTACCTCCAGGTACAATCATACAGGGACACAGTTCTTTGAAATTAAGAAGAGCAGACCTCTAACTGGGTAAGTGCCTCCTTCCACTGTTCTAATTAGAACTGTTCCCAACTGAACAAGACAGGAACTCAACATGCCTCCTTCATTCCTCGGCAGCTATGCTTTTCAGTAGAGATGTATCAGGACATTCCTGGAAGAATGGAAGGTCATCCATGGTGGGGGCAGGGTCTTCATACAAATGGAATTAGGTTAAATGAAAGTCAAGGGCAGCCTTGAAGAGAAAATGGATCCACAGAAGGGTAATGTGAAGCCTAGAGTGAAGCCATCTTACCTTCTTGTTTTGGTAGTTTGGAAGATGGGGCACAGGAGGATGGGAGCTAATTAAATTTATCAGGTGATGAAGATATAAAGATGAAAAAATTACACAGTCTCTACCCTCAAAGGGTTTATAATTTACAAGATAAAAATAGTTAAGCAAGTAAGAGATAGAGAGTGGCCTGAAAAGTTGGAAGAAGGATATGTGACTTCTAACTGAGAGGTTCAAGTGAGATTTCATGGAGGAGACAGCACCTGAGTAGGACCTTGAAGGAGTGGAATGGTGTCCAGAATCCATTCCAGGTAGGTGGGGCAGAGGTGGGAGAGGGAAGAATTAGATAAGTAAGGAATGAGAAATCCATTATGGCTAGAATTTAGAGTAGATAAAAGGGAGAAGCATGTAATGTAGCTGGAAAGGTAGATTGGAGGAAGATTATGAAGACCCTGTAATACCAGGATAAGAAGATTATATTTTATTGTTAGGCAGTGGAAATCAACACATGCTTTAGGAGTGCATACACACACACATCTATACACAGATCTTTTTTTTTAAGTCATTCAATGAAGAAGGTACCTCCTCTAGTCTTCCTCCTAGAATCACTATCCAGACCTTAAATGGAGGGGCAAGGAACAGTCCTCCTCTGCCCTAGGGAAGACTGTGTTACTTTAGCAGAAGTTCTAAAATAGGGATTCTTAATCTATAATCTGTGAACTTTTTTTTAACATTTTGATGATTAAATTTTAATATAATTGTCTTTGTAATCCTTTTGCAAAAATCCTCTTTTGCTTTATTTTAGCTTTTGAAAACATTGTTTTGAGAAGGGCTTCACTAGACTGTCGAAAAGGGTCCATATCCCAAAAAAGGGGGTAAGGACTCCTGCTCCAGAAGGAATTAGAATCTATTTGACAGAGTCTATGCCTGCCTGTCTTTTCCTCCTCTCCCCTCCCTCCTCACCTCCAAGACTACCAATACCTAATGGGAGCTGGTACCCAGTGAGGACACCCTGGAGAAGATTTCAAGATTGGTACCTATTATGAGTAGACTCATTTGCCATTTCTCAGTGAATTAACTGATAAGAGCTGAAGAATGCCCTGTTCCCTTCTCTTGTGAAGGGAACAGTCTGAGTCTGAGTTCCCAGGGGCCTGGTATGATGAGATAGGTCTGATCAACTGGAGGAAGGGATCCAAGTGTCTTTGGAAGTAAAATCGAATAAAGCCCCATGGATTTCCAAACACAAGAGCCTAGAAACAACAGGGCTTAGAGTTAACTGAGTTTAGACTGTCTACAGTTATTATTGAAGGACAATAGAGCATTGAGTCGGTTACAGACTAGTGATTGCTCCCAGTTACGGGCTTCTTGGACAAACCATCATTGGATCCCTAGGGCTTACATGTTCCTGCCTCCACCCCTTCTCTCCCTAGGGTAAACCAGCTGGTTTGGTCCCTTTGGGGAACAGTTATTAAAAGAGGAGAAGTCAACTCTGAGGCCTTGGGGAAAGCATAATAGGTTTTTCCTCTCTTCCCCTAGCCTCCCCAAATGACTACCCATCTAAGGTGGGGGCTTTCACCCTCTGCTAATGACCATCAGATGCATGAGGGGGAGTAAAGGGATATAAAGAAGCACACTGCTCACTGGCCTACCTGCCATTGCCCTTTTCCTTCCTCAGGAGGTCTCTTAGACCAGGAGTCCAGGGTTTGGGAGACCTGGGTGGGAGGGCAGGGAGAAATGACTTTGTATTATAGCGGATGTGTAATACAGAAGGAACAATTTCTCCCCTTCTTTATCATCACGCTGAAAGCTTCCCCCTTTTCTTGTTTTCTCTCATTCCCCATCCATCTCCAAAGAGCAGCCCTTTCTCCACTTTCACAAGGGAGAGAGAGGACACGTAAATGAGACACGCCAAGGCACAGCAGAATCCGCCAAGAAAGTGATAGCTGTCTGTTTTAATTTGTCTTGCTTGTTGCTTGCCCTCCTTTCCATTTCTTGCCCATTTCAGCCTCCCTCCATTCTGCCTGCCCCCTCAGGGGTGGCCTCCTCTGGGTCCAAAGACAATTGATGAAGCTTTCTTCCCTGGCCTGACCCTCCCTCTTTCCACACAGGCTGATGGACCTTGCTAAGGAGATGACCAAAGAGGCTCTGCCAATCAAATGCCTGGAAGCTGTGATCCTGGGAATGTATCCTTTCTGCTCACTCCATGCCCTTCTCTTCTATCACCACTCTGCCTTTTCTTCTACCCAAGCCTACTTTTGGCATGCTGAAAAGAGCACAATTATAAATCAGAAATGCCAGGTACTAGTCTTGGCTCTGCCCCCCACCCCCAATCTATGGGACTTTAGGCAAGTTTCTTTCCTCTCTGGATCTGTTTCCTTATCTGTAAAATAAGGGGCTTGTGCCAGATCTCTAAAGAGTTTTTCATTTCCAGGGCAGCTAGGTGGCACAGTGGATAGAGCGCCGGCCCTGAAGTCAGGAAGACCTGAGTTCAAATATGGCCTCTGACCAAACACTTGACACTTTCTAGCTGTGTGATCCTGGGCAAGTCACTTAACCCCAATTGCCTAAAAAAAAAACAACACAAAACAAACCAAAAAAAAAAAAGAGTTTTTCATTTCCAAAAATTCTGTGCTTCTGTTCAGCCTCTTGTCCCATGTATTTTTGGCCCAACAGTAAAATGATCTCTGGGTCTGTAGACTACTACTGAGTGAAACCTGCATCTCTTACATCATAGGCTAACCCTTGGCACTTTACCATTGAATTATAAACTACAAGGGGCCTTTAGGAAAAAGCAACTGTAAGATGAATAAACAGGAATGAACTGTATGGATGTACAGGGGTGAATGAACTGTACCAGCCACAGCCCAAAGGGGGGGTGAGTGCATGTCTGTATGTGCATGAGTGTGCATGTGTGTATGTATTGTGCATATGAGCATGAGTGTACATGTGTGCATGCTTGTGAGTGGGGTGTGTGTGTTTGTGTGTGTGTGTATGTAGTACATCACTTGACCCAGAAATTCATCTTCACTCTAATTATTCACCATTTAGAAGAGGGTTGGAAGATAGAAGAATAATACTCCCTGTAACAGAGAAAAAGATTAAAGAGAAGATAAGTCATCCTCAGGGCCAGAAGGTGAACCATGCTCTTGTAACACTCTCTGGATACAAAACAAACAAACAAATAAACGCAAAAAAACCCAGTTTATCCTTGTAGGAGCAGGATCTGGGAAGAATTTGTCTTGGTCAGAGGTGGGAATCACAGACTCTGGGTGATTCAAAGAATTGAAGGGAAAAAAGCAGGAAATCAAGAGTTTATGAGTTTTAGTTTTATCTCCTTTTCGGGCCAGTCATATTTTCTTCCTCTCTAGCTCTTATGGGATCATAGATTTAAAGTAGAAAAAGACTTAGAAGTTGTCAAGTTTAAATCTCTCACCTCCCATTTTACAGATGAGATAACTGAGGCCCAGAGACATTAAGTGATTCATTGCATACATAACAAGTGTTTGAGGCAGTCTTCCTGACTCCAAGTGCACTATTCTATCCACCATACCAGTGGTATCAAACAAATAGAAAGGGGGGATCTCTAAATAAATGCAAGGATCTTTGCAGGCCACATATTGACTTAGAAAACCATACATATTTATATATTTATTTTTTATTAATACATCAACATGTTAAAATTAGATAGGATCTACACTTTAATCTGGTTTGGACTGTCCTCAGAAATGTTGTGGGCCACAGGCACCCCTGCGTCGCATGTTAACCCTACTGTTCTATGCTATGCTGTCTCTCTGCTTATTTTAATTTATAAAATAGGGTTAGAAATTGTCACTCTCCACCCCAGGGATGTAAACATGTGCTCATTCACCATGAAGCCTTTTCCCAAAAATGTCTAAAAACTATATCCTAGGGAACTGTATCAGATGGGCTGCCCCTGACTGAAGGCTTTGTATGACAATGAGAAAACTCCATGATTTCATCGTTATGGGGACTCCTTCTACCAACCGTCTTCAGGAGTCACTTGAGCTGCATATCAAGTGTATGCAGATTAAGGCCAGAGTTATAGGACTAGCTAGCACCAGAGGCAGGATTTGAACCCAGGTCTTCCTGACCCCAACTCCAGAATCCTCTTCTCTGAGTCATGCTACCTCTGCATATTGAGAATAGTGAGAAATGAAGTAACTCTGAAAACGTTAGGCCCAGGACTGACAGCTGCCACCAGGTATCAGGTTCACTTCCCCAGAAAGTGTAAAGGTTGGTGCCAAGGACAAAGGGCTTGACCCTCATTTATGGGATAAGCTTCCACTTTGGGATTTGAATCTGATCAAAGCAACAGTGCTACTATTATATGTAGTCATTAGACTACCTTACAGGGCATTTAGGCATTCCTGAGGAGTTTGTGGGACACTTTGTATTAGATGGAAATTTCCAATTCCATCTTACTTCTTGTTGTTCATTTGTTTTCAATTGTATCTGACTCTTTGTGCCCCCATTTGGGGTTTTCTTGGCAGAGATACTGAAGTGATTTGCCATTTCCTTCTCCAGCTCATTTTATAGATGAGGAAACTGAGGCAAATGAAGTTAAGTGACTTGCCCAGGGTTACACAGCTAAGTGTCCAACTTCAGATTTGAACTCAGGAAGATGAGTCTTCCTGACTCCAAGCCCAGCACTCTATCTACTGTGCCACCTAGTTGCCCCCTCCATCCTACTACTTGCAAAGAAACACTCTAGATGAAAAAGGAAGAGTAAGAGCTGAGCTCCAGACCATTTTAGTAGGCCCATACCCTAGATCAGCAGGGCTAGGATCCCTCCACCTTTACTGCCACCAATGCCTTACCTCAGAGACAAGGCAGCAAAAACAGAGGCGTTGTTACCCCAGAAGGATCTGGGACTTAACTGTCATCAGTTACTGAGAGCCGTATCTGAAGAGGTTCCATTAAGTAGCAGTAGCATCTTGGGAAATCTACCCCAGTTGGCTTCTCTTTGGTTATTTTCCTAAGCAAGATTGGCGTGACCAGTTACCTCACCAACAGCATGCCCACACTGGAGCGCTTCCCCATCAGCTTCAAAACCCACTTCTCAGGGAATTACTTCCGACACATCGTGCTGGGGGTGAACTTTGGGGGTCGCTATGGAGCACTAGGCATGAGCCGCCGTGAGGACCTCATGTACAAGCCTCCCACTTTCCGCACGCTCAGTGAGCTGGTCCTGGATTATGAGGCTGCCTACCAGCGCTGCTGGCATGTCCTGAAGAAGGTGAAGCTTGGCCAGTGTGTTTCTCATGACCCCCATAGCGTGGAGCAGATTGAGTGGAAACATTCCATCTTGGACGTGGAGAAGCTGGGGCGAGAGGACTTCCGGAAGGAGCTAGAGAGGCATGCCAGAGACATGAGGCTAAAGGTTAGTTATGGAAAAGAGGGGATTAGGGATGTTGGGAGAGGAAGAGAAGGTAGTGTGCTATTGTGGAAAGACAATTAGCCTGGGAAACTAAAATACCTAAATTATGTCATTACCTGCAGAAGCCATTTTAAAAATTTTAAAATCTCCGGGCCTTGGTTTCTTCATTTATCAGATGAAGGAATTGGCCCACATGATATTAAAAGTCCCTTCCAGTTCTAATAGTGTATGAGTCTGAAAACCTGCCTGCACAGAGAGAGTTAGTCAATAGGTTGAGCCACAGAGGGTCCCAAACTATTCATATGGAATTTAATAGAGATAAATGTGAAGTTCTATACCAAATCAACCATAGAAATACAGGATGGCAGAGATATAACTAGGCCACAGTACCTGGGGATCTAGGGAGTTTGGGAGTCTTACAAACTCTATGTGAGCTAGCAATGTGGTATCAGTGAATAAACATTTATTTAGCACTTGCTGTGTGCCAGACACTGTGCTATAAGACAAATGCAATACCCCTTAGTCAAGCAATAGGTCTAGAATTAGGAAGATGACTCCCATTACACTCTAAATCATATCATATCTGGGGCACGATGTTAAAGTCTGGTTACCATATGTCAGGAAGAACATTAATAAAGTATAACATGTCCAAAGGAGGATAACCAAGATAGTAAAAGAACTGGAAACCATGACATCTGAGGATCAGATGGAACCGTGAATGTTTAGCCTGGAAAAGAGGAAACTTGAGGGTCAGGGGTTGAACAAGAAATTGTTTATGGTCTTCAAAGCGTTCAGCATAGTTCCGGATACATAGTAAGCGCTTAATAAATGTTTATTAATTGATTGCTTCAAACATTTACAGTCAGACTATCCAGCTGGAAGAGGGATTATGAATCAGCCCTAGTGGTCAGAACTAGAAACAATGGCTACAGCTTGCAAAGAAGCAGATTTTAGCTTACTATAATGCAAAGTTCCTTTAATTAAGGCTATCCCAAAGTGAAACGGGCAATTTCAAGAAGTAGTGAGTTCACCTTTTGCTGGTGGGCTTTCAAGTGGAATTGAATGACCACTTGTCAGGTGTATTTTTGGAAAGAAGGAATAAAGGGAGAAAGGGAAGAAAGAAGGAAAGGAGGGAGGGAGGAAGAGAGAGAGGGAAGGAGAGGAAAGAGGGAAGGGAAGGAGGGCAGGATGGAGAAGGAAGGGAGGAAAGAAAAGAAGAAAAGGAGAGGAAGAAGGAAGGAATGAAGGAAGGAAAAATTTATTAAGTGCCAGAAACTGTGCTAAATGCTTTAGAATTATCTCATTTTATCTTCACAACAACCCTGCCATTATTATCCCCATTTTACAGTTGAGGAAATTGAGGCAGGAGGAGGTTAAGTAACTTGCTCAGAGTCACACATCTCCTAAGTGTCTACAGCCAAATTTGAACCCGGGTCTTCCTGAATCCAGGCCCAGTGCTTTATCCACAGTGTCTCCTGGCTACCTCTAAATGGCTGTTGACATCCTTTAAACTCTGAGATTTGTGTGTGTGGGTGTGTGGGTGTGATTCTTTGAGGTACTGTAGATCAAGATGACCATTGACTTGACAAGCAGAGAGCAGTCCTCCAAGGATTAGGTCATGAGGACAATCCAGGGAGGTTGGGATAAAATGAAATGAGGAGAGGACCCCTTCCTCTTCTTTCTCTATAACCTCCAAGCTGAGCCCCAAAGTCCCCCCATGGTGCCCTGGGCCTCAGAGCTAAAGGGTGCCTTTCCTTCTGGCCACCTTTGAGCTTCCAGAAAAGGGTCTTGAATTCTAATCCTCCACTGTCAATTTCTACAAAAGCTGAAATGGTACAAGCTGTTCCTAATAAACCAGTTTAGTTTAATTATAATTGCCCGCAGAAGTACTTTATAATTATTCTCTCAACATATACCATGTCACTACAGTTCTAGGAACTATAGTAAGCAAACCAGGGTCTCTGGTCACGTTAGTCCAGAGGCATGTGGATTAGCCAATACTTTTCCACTGGAGAGAGAGGATTGGGCAACTTCAGAATGTGTGGTCTTTAGTGGGCAAACTATTTTTCCTGCCTGACATGATGATGGGGGAAATTTGGGGATGGCGAAGGGAAGTGCTGCAGATCAGGGACAGACAAGCCCAAACAATGATGTTAGTCATCTTTGGGTATAAAGTCCCCCCTCAAAGCTGGAAGTCTAGTCCATGCTTACCCCTTAGAATGAGTATGATTGCTGTGGAGACTCTCACAATAGCAGAGGTGGGTGGTGCTGAGACTGGAGCCAGACTTTACCAGGTCCTTTGTGGTATAAGCATCAGGAATGGCTGGAAGGGCCCTGAGTAGAGGATGAATTAGGGATTCTCAGGGCTTTTCTGTGTCCCAAGCCTCCTTGAATTCCTTTGACCTTTTGGTGTTCATTTGGGCTGTGTGCTCTAAGATCCTAAGGTGAAGTCCTGAACTTCCTTCATCTCCTTTCTCCTGATGTTTACAGATCGGCAAAGGGACCGGCCCACCCTCTCCTACCAAGGATAGGAAAAAGGATGTATCCTCCCCACAGAGGAGCCAGTCCAGTCCACACCGCCGCAATAGCCGAGGAGAGAGACGGTAAGGAAATGGGTAATTGGTAACAAAGTGGAGCAGAGACAAGGGATTTTTCAAATTGCTTTTCCTCCCCCCTCTATTCTTTTATCCTGCCTCGATAATAATCATGTATAGTGCTTAAAGATTTGCAAATACTTAGAACATTGCATCAGAGCACCAGGGTTTGATCCTTGCAACTACTGTCAGGTAGGTAATGTAAACATTATTTTCCCCATTTTATAGTTTAAGAAGCTGAGGCTCAGAGAAATTAAAGGATTAAATAAACTTCACCATTATAAGTTGAGAAAGACATGTCTGGGTAATAGTTCATCTGAAAAAGATTAGGGGGATTTTAGTAGACTCGAAGCTCAATATAATAATAATAGCACCTAGCATTTATATGGCGCCTACTACGTGCCACGCAGTATTTAATCCTCACAACAACCCCTGTGAGGTCGGTACTATTGTTATCCCCATTTTAGAGTCAAGGAAACTGAGGCAAACAGAGGTTAAGAGATTTGCTCAAGATTACACAGCTAGTGAGTGATTGAAACTAGATTGAATCTCAGGTCTCCTGACTCCCGGCCCAATGTTCTGTCCTCACTGCCTATGTGTAATGGGAAAAAAATCAATAACTAATTCCTTGAGTACTTAGCTTTGTATCATTTTGCTAATCATCTATCAGCTGTAATCATAAGAAGTAACTGTGTGATTTATAGTAAGAATATAGTCCCGGGTTAAAACCTGTGTGTAACTGAAACTCTGATGCAATCCCAGCTAATGCGTCAGCTAATCTGAGAAATGTAGCTACAATCATCTTTATATTAAAATACACTGGGTGAAAGGTGATCTGACCTATGATGTAAAAGATAGACCTGCAAATATAAGACCTGTAAACGAAATATCCTTATGCTTGAGTAAAAGACCTACTTGAGCCATAGAGTGACCTATGCATTGGTGCCATGGGTTGACCAGCTTAAATCAAACCTGAATCAAGAGAACTGTAAATAGCTGTGAACTCTGTAGCTCAGGGTCTCAGACCATACTGGTAGTACTGCAGACCCCCAATTTTGTTTCTCTTAGTAAAGGTTGGTTTCTTTGCTCTGAAAGGCTTCCCAGTTTCTTTTTAATATATGTAAGTCGAGAACAGCAGCTGAGGAAGTTAGTGTATTATCTTAGGCTGCATTAAGAAAAGCGTATTTTCTAGGAATAAGGTGATAGTCTCACCATTCTCTGCCTTGATCAGGCCACATCTGGAGTACTGAAGCACATTTCAGTTATTAAGCTACAGACCATCCAGAAAAGGGCAACCAGAGGGTTCATACCATATGAGGATTAATTGGAGGAACTTAGGGATGTTTGTCCTGGAGAATAGAAGACTTATGGGGGATGTGTACTCTTCAAGTGTTTAAAGGTCCATCATGTGGAAAAAGACTAGAAGTCAAACTAGGATTAGTGGGTAGAAGTTTTAAAGAGAAAAATTTAGACTTAATGTCAAGGGGGAAGGAAAAAACCTTCCTAACAATTAGCATTGTCCAACAATAGAGTGAGCGACCTCCAAAGGTAGAGGGTTCCCAATTACTAGAGGTCTCCAGGCAAAGGCTAGATTACTGAATCTCACATGTGCTATAGAAGGAATTCATATTCAGGTGTAGGTTGGAATTATATTCTATGGTCATATAGCTAGTCAGTACCAGAGGCATGATTTGGACAGTTATCTCATGAATCCTAATCCAGCATCCTTAAAAAAAGTGATTGCAAGGTCTTGTGAATACTAACAATTTCAAAATTGTTGGTATTCACAAGACCTTGCAATCTCCCTTTTCTTAAGACCCCTGCTTATGCCTGTCATAGCTCCTTAAAGAAAATAAGACCCTAGCTACTCCCTGTTGTGGCTGAGTTTCCCCTGTGCTTTGGAGGAAAAGACTTGGCAATTAATAGAACAAAAAAATAATTCTAAGACTGGTTGCATCTCCCCAGGGCCAGGAACCAGCGATGCCTTTAAAATTATGCCTGTTACATCTTTCCTTCATACTCAATGGCGAGGGAGGGTAGGAAGAAGGTAGAATTTTGCTGATTGAAATATATATAGAGAGAGACAGACAGACAGACACACATGCACACACACACATAAAATTTAAAAACAAACCAAAAATATGGAGGGGACTATAAGATGAGTTAGCTCAAACAACAAGCATTTATTAAGCAAAAACTAGGTAATAGGTACCAGAGAGTCAAGGACAAAATCGAAACAGTCTCTACCTTCAGGGAACTTATATTCTTCTTTGTTTGTTTGTTTGTTTTTAATAGTATTTTTTTCCCAATTCCATGTAAAGACAGTTTTCAACACCCATTTTTGAAAGATTTTGAGTTCTAAATTATTCTCCCTTCCTCTTTCCCCTCCCCCCACCCTCCTCCCCAAGACAGCGAGCAATCTGATATAGGTTATATATGTGCCATTATGTAAAACATATTTCCAAATTAGTCATATTGTGAAAGAAGAAATAGAACAAAAGGAAAAAAAAACACACACCGAACCCCCCCCCACAAAAAAAAAGTGAAAATAGTTTTCTTCGATCTACAAAAAAGACTCCATCAGTTCTTTCTCTGAATGTGGATAGCATTTTCCATCCTGAGTCTTTTGGAATTGTCTTAAATCATCGTGTTGCTGAGAAAATCTAAGTCAGTCATAGTTGATCATCTCACAGTGTTGCTGTTAAGGGAGCTTACATTCTAACAGGGGAGTATGAGTATGAATACACATACACACACATATATACATACTCTATATTATCCAGATAAACTGGTCTATTTGCTATTCCTCACACACAGCAATCCTCATCTCATTTCCATACCTTTGCACTGGCTATTCTTATTTTAAAAAAGGCAGGATGGGTCCAAATTGTAAAGAGCTTTAAATATGCCAAAGAGGCAATTTTATTTGATCTTAGAGGTAATAGAGAGCTGTTGAATTTAGAAGTAACGTAGACTGGAATTTTAGGAAAATCTCTTTGGTGGATGAATAGAGGATATAGTGGAATGGGGGTGTGTGGAGAGGGGCAGATTAAAAGTAGGGAGACTGATTAAGAGTCTATAATAGTAGTCCAGGTGAGATGTTACGAGAGCATTGGTCCTGGAGTCAGGAAAACCTGAGTTCAAATCCAGTGTCAGAGACATATTAGTTGTATGACCCTAGGCAAACCATTTCACCTCTGTCTGGTTTCTCAAGTGTAAAATAAAGACGATAATAATAGCACCTGCCTTCCAAAGGTAGTATAAGAATTGACGAAAATAACATTTGTAAAGTGCTTAACAGAGTGCCAGGCACATAGTAAGCACTTAATAAACGTGTGTGTGTGTGTGTGTGTGTGTGAGAGAGAGAGAGACAGACAGACAGACAGACAGACAGATAGACAGACAGACATGTTGAGAGATGTTATGGAAACAGAAATGAAAAGATTTGGTAACTGGTTGGATATGTGGAGTGAAAGAGAATGAGAAAGTAAGGATGACACCAAAATTGCAAACCTGTATGACTGGAAAGATGATTATACCTTTGAAAGTAATAGAGAAGTTCAGAAGAGAGGTGAGTTTTATGGGTAAGATAATGAGTTCTGTTTTGGACATGCTGAGTTTGAGATGCTTCCATTTTGAAATGTCCAAAAGGCAGTTGGTGATATAAGATGAAGCTAAGGGTAGAGTCTAGGGCTTGCTGTATAGAGCAGAGATTCCTCTGCATAGAGATCATTAGATCCATGGGAACTGATGAGAGCACCAAATGAGAGATAGAAGAGAAAAGAGACACAAACAGAGCCTTGGAGTTCACCCCAAGTTAGGGGGCATGACATGGATGATGTTAGTCACTGGAGATAAAAAATGCAAAAGCAAGATAGACCCAGCCTGAAAGAACATTACATTCTACCCAGAAGAATTGAGTTCAGTTTCCAGCTCTGCTACTTAATACTGTGTCCTCAGGCAAGTCACTTTACCCAGATGAGCCTTGGTTTCCTCATCTGTAAATTAATTCTTGGAGCAGATGATCTCAAAGGTCCCTTCCTGCTCTAATGTTCTGTGATTTCATCTGCTTCTTGCTGGTGTACCTGTCATTTCATCATTTCACCTTCACCCCTCTGTTTTGAAGGCTTTTTGTCTTTAAGAACCTTCCCCTCACTATTTAAAATGCCAGTGCCCCTGGGATAAGGCCCATGTCCCCTAAGATAGTGTTAATTAACATCTTAGTCATCATTTAATACCTTGGCAAAGATTAGTTGACAGCTAGCTGAAAGTGAACTTTATAAGTGTTTGGGGAAATTTCTATACTGTCAAAGCAAAATTTAGGAATAATTTTTAGAGAGTAAAAATAATAGCTATCATTTATGTAGTTCTTTAAGATTTGTAAAACATTTTACAGATATGATGTCATTTGATCTTCACAACAACCTGGGGAAGTACTATTATTATCCTCATTTTATAGATGAGGAAACTGAAGCAGACGAAGTTAAGGGACTTGTCCAGGGTTACTTGTCTGAGGCTAGGTTTGAACTCAGGTCTTCCTGATTCCAGGTCCAGTGCTTTATCCAGTGCCACGTCTAGCTACCTCAAAATAGGTTAAGAGGAAATATACTCTTTATATATCTCCTCTCTCTACCCTTCTTTCAGCCAGCATATTATTTTAGGCAGCCTTGTGTAGTAGAAAGAGTGACTAGGTAACAGCCACATTGTGTGATGGCTAACTTTGATAGACTCATCTCTTCTTAGCACTGCAAGGGTCTAAGACAGCTCCCAAAAACTCATGATGGAAAATGTTATCCACATCCAGAAAAAGAACTATGGAGTCTGAATGCAGATTTGCTCTTTTTTTGTTTCTTCTTTCTTGTGGTTCCTCACATTGGTTCTAATTATTCTTTACAACATGACTAATATGAAAATAGGTTTAATATGAACGCATATGTAAAGCCTATATCAAATTGCACGCTATCTTGGGGGAGGGGGAGGGGAGTGATAGGGAGAAAATTTGGAACTTAAGATCTTATGGAAGTGAATGTTGAGAACTAAAAATAAATGAATTATTTTTAAAAAGAGTGACTAGGAGACCTGAGTTCTAATTCTGGCCTTGCCACTATCTGGGGCTCAGTTTCCTCATCTGGAATATGAAATATTTGAACTAGATGATCTCTTAGGTCCGTTCCAGATTTAAGATTTAACATTCTATTTCAACATTTCCCAAACTCTGTCCCATGGAACCCCTGTAGTCCAATACAATGTTTAGTATGGAAAGTTGTGATGTTGGTGATAAAATATTAAATTTTGTATTATAAGGTCCCCAGCACTTTAGGTGGTCCTCCTATGGCGAATTTTTGGGAGGAATGAATAAAGGGATAGATAGATGAAAACATTTACATAGTACTTCCTTTTTGCCAAGCACCACGCTGAATGCTAGGGATACGTATAGAAAACCAAGACAGTCTCTGCCCTCAAGGAACTCACATTGTAATTGGAAGAGCCAAGACTTCAAGGATGATTCAGCTTCAGGGCCAGTGATATTCAAGGTACAGTTACTAAGTAGATGACAAGTTCCTTAGGGAACATTAAGGGGTCAGAGAGTAATAGCTAGAGGTTTGGAGAGTTAGCAATAAGGCAGATGGTAAGGTCCAGTGGTCTTCCATCTTATCGAAGGGTTGTAATTGGTGACTCTATAATCATTTAAGTGGTATGAACAACCATGTCCACTCACATCCAGCAGGATTGGGAGTGGGGAAGTTGGAGGTACCCAACCCAAAATCAATCAATAAGCATTTATCAAGTGCTTGCTATATGCCAGGCACTCTGCTGAGTGGTGGGGATATAAATAAAAAGCAAAAGCAATCCCTGCCCTCAAGGAGTTTACTTTCTAATGGGGACAACAATATACATAAATTAAAACAGGAAACAAAATAAGTACAGAGTAGAAGGAAGGCAGCCTAGAGAGGAAGACACTAGTGCCTTGGAAAGGGGGATACTTGGGAGTAGGGGCTACGAAAAGGCCTGAGAAATAGCTCTTGAGCAGAGTCCTAAGAAAACCTAACAATTCTAAGAATCAGAGGTTGGGAAAGAGAGCATTCCAGTCACGGGAAACATCCAATATAAAAGCTCAGAGACAGAGGAACAGCAAGTAGTCTAGTATTACAAGATCATCGAATTCATGGAGGGAAATGGAATGAAAGAAGATGGGCAAGGCAGGAAGGGCCCAGATGGTAGAGAGCTTTAAATGTCAAAAGATTTTCTATTTAACCCTAGAGGTAATAGGGAGCCACCGGAGTTTACTGAGCAGAGGAGCGGCAAGTGCCTCTCTCCTCTCACTTAGTCATTTTGTGTGGAGGATGGATGGAAATGGACAGAGAGACTTGAGACAGGATGACCAATTAGCAAGCTATTGTAATATAGTCCAGGTAAGAGACTAGGGAAGGGCTGGGATGTGGAGAGAAGGGGACTTCTGGGAGACATGTTGTAAATGGAGAAATCGCAAGATTTGACAGCTTTTATGCAGGGTGATCCAAATGATGACCAATCCTTCGGGTACGGGGTACACACAGTTAGTAGGTGTGACATAAGTGAAGACCCAGCAAAATAGAGAAGGATAAGCCTGATATATAGGAAGAAGACCAAGAGAGAGCAAATTCTGTTAAGAGACAAGGTTAGAAGAGTTTAGAAATGAATGAGAAGAAAAGTGAAGGTGCTGATTGTGGACATTTCCAAGGAGTTTAGAAAGGGGAGGAGAGATAAGAGACAATAACTTGAGGGGGTGGTAGGGCATAGTGAAAGGTTTGTTTGGTTTTTTTAATGCATGGAGGAAGACAGGGCATATTTGAAGGCAATAGAGAGGGAACTAGTAGATGGGGAAAAGTTGAAAATTAGAAGGTGGGAATGATTGAGGTTGCAATTTTGTGAAGTATATGGAAGGGGATGAAATCAAGGGCACATGTAGAGGGGTGAGTCCTTGTAAGAGAAAAGGCCATTTCTTTGTCAGATACTGGGGTAAAAACTGAAAGAGTGAAGACTGATATCAAGCGGTTTTGAGATCAAGAGAAAGAGAAAAAGATCTAATGGAGAATGGCCTCAGTTTTTGTTTTGTTTTCAGTAAAGTAAGATGTAAGGCACTCTTCTGAAGGAGCATAGGGAGGAGGAGGTGTGGAAGGCTTAAAGAGAGAAGAGAAGATTTGGAATAGCTTCAATAAGGAGCGAAATACAGCATAATAGTTACAAGGAACAGCTTTTTTTTCTTTAGAAAAATTAGCCAGGTTCCTCTTTTGTTCTAAAACTTTCCCAATTTCCCTTTATGCCCCCAAGTCAGCATTTAGGGGTTCCATAATTATATTTCAAGTTCAAAAAGTTTATATGTTGTTGTTTAGTCGTTTTCCAGTCATGTCCAACTCTTCATGACTCCACTTGAGATTTTCTTGAAAAAAATACTGGAGTGGTTTATTGTTTCCTTCTCCAGCTCATTTTACAGATGAGGAAACTGAGGCAAACAGGGTTAAGTGATGTGCCCAGGGTCACACAGCTTATAAGTGTCTGAGGCCAGATTTGAACTCAAGAAGATGAATCTTCCTGACTCCAGGCCCAGCATTCTATCTGTTGTACCACCTAGCTGCCTTAAAAAGGTTACATAGCCAAATTATTTTAGAAAATGCCCTATTCTATTAACAGGACACAGAACAGCCACTTGAGTGGGCGTAAGGAGGAGGGAAAAGAAGAGAGAGAGAATGGGCATAAATCAGGGTGAGCAAAAAATGCCAGGTCCATTCCTCTCTAGGGCCCTTCCTTTAAGGAATGGAGTGAGATGATAAGAAATTGACATGGCTTCCTCCCAATAGTAACTGTTCTTTAGTTCTCTCCGACCTATCTGACTCATCCATTTCACCTCCTGTTTCTTCTCTTCTTTCTTCCCTGCAGACCATCTGGTGAAAAGAAGCCTGCTGAACCCAAAGCCATGCCAGACCTCAATGGGTACCAAATCCGGGTGTGAGGTGAGTGGTGATGATACCACTTGCTCCACAGACTTACCACCACTCCTTCCACCACAGGACCAAGAGCTGCCCACCGTGAGCCTTGATGGAGGGGAGGTGTGGGTTGAGGGGACAGTAGGAGGAGCCCAGAGTTCCTCTTCATCTGACAACACTGCTTCCCTCAGGCAGAACACAGGTCTCACCCAGCATTTGTGGAAGAGACACGTTGACCCTAAAGGGAAGAGGAAGAGGAGTCAGTATGAACCCAGAGATTTGTTTACTACATCCCATAAAGCAACATGTTGAACAGGTCACACCTGTCTCGGGGCAAGTGGTGTCCTAGAGATAACTGGCTATGACCACGTAGTCCTGATGGGAAGCACTGCCAGGACCAGACAGTGCCTAGAAGCCCAGCATAAAGACTGGAGCTACTCCTTAGGCAATGTACCAGAGAACCATGATGCCGCCAGAGATAAGGAGAAGGCATCCCCCATACATAGCACTGGCAGCTCTTGCCTCCCAGACTTCGAGAAGCACCAGCTGCAGGGCTCAGCCTCAAGCCCATAGGTCTCTCTGCAGCAGGGTTTGGACTTCTCTGGAGCTCCAGGGACCAGGTTTTGGAGTCATGTTGGGTTGGCCATAGGTGAGCATCCAGGGTAGCACAGGCCAAGAAGAAAGAGGCCAGCACCATAACTCATGATAGACGGGACACCATGGAAGGTGAAGAGTCTTGCATCAGCTCTGGTTCTCCTCCCTTTCTTTAGGCAGGAGTTGAATTCTCCTCCTCTCCCCTCTCCCAGAGCATCAGTACAATTTTTGGTCTTTTTCCTCAGGCAGAGAATTAGGGATTGGGAATGATGATGCCTGGGGTTGATCACTCTTCCCTCTTTCACCAGCTAAATTTAGTGATTTGGGTGACGATGATCCTAGCTGTGTATAATAGGAAGGAACTTCCTGCCGTCAGATGGGATTTTCAGCAGCTCCCCAGTCCCAGTTAGAAAGATCTCTGTTGGAATAGTCAGGCCCATTAGGCATTGAGTGCATTTGTAATAGGAAGTACTAACCCAAGTCTGAGACAAGAGGAAGACACAAATAGACTCTGAAAGGATCAGAATGCCCTTGGGTGGGGGGCATCCATAGTGAGCGGGTACGACGTGAATGAAGAGCCAGAGAGAGAGGCCATGAAAGAGCAACCAGACATGTGGCAGGATGGAGAGAGGTGTTTCAGTTGAGTGAAACCCAGGGGTGAACAGGAAGAGGCAGAGTAGTTCAGAAGGTTGGAGGTTAATGGGAGAAGGCAGTGGGACACTGAGAAGGCCAGGACATAGTGGCAGGAGGCAGAAAGATGCTGAAAAGTCAAGGGTTAGTGGAAGCAGGCAGTAGGACATTGAGCAGGCTAGGGCATAGTGGCAGAAGACAGAAAGAATGATGGTGATAGGCCCAGGAGAAGGAACCCAAGACTCATATAGCCAGGAGGCAGGGTAAGGCCCCATTACAGCAACAGAGTCAGGGAGAGATGAGGGGGCCAATCTAGAAGGCTCAGTGGCAAAGTTTCGGGAGTCATTGTAAGGCTACAAGGAAGGACTGACGGATGTAGCAGAATGGGTATGTTGAAGGAGGGTTGTATGGGGGTGATAGTTATACTCCGAATATAGCAGATAAAGGACGTAGAATAAGCCTGGGCCAATGGGAGAAGGAAAATCAAGGTAGAGCAAGTAGGAGGTGATGCTTTGGGGGAGACAAAGAGAAAACATGAAATTCACAAATTTCAGAAAGAACAAAAGGAAAGAGGAAACATCATCCATGCTATTGAATTCAAAAGGAAATGGATGGTCAGCCGAGAGGTGTGGATGGGAGCATAGGAACAGACACAGAGCATTGCAGTGACCCTGGAGTTGTTTATCCTGCTCCAAGTGATTGCTGTGTCACTGAGTGGGGGAAGGGAATAGAACAGAAGTGGATGTAGGGCAGAGTTCAGCAGTAGAAGCACTGATAGGGCCTAGAAAAGAAGACAAGCCTCAGGCCCAGAAAGAGGGTGAGGACAGAGAAAACAAGCTTGGTGCTGACCAGGACTCCGTCTCCTAGTCATTCCACCGATGGGGGAAGGCATCAAAAGGAGAGACCACCCTGGGCCTCAGGGCTTGGCATAGATGTCCAGATCTTGTGGAATAAGGACTGACCTCTGTCAGCAGGCCCCGATTTGGGTGCTCCCACAGGGGGATGTAGAGACTACAGAGTCCAGCATTCGACTGAGTCTGGAGAAGTGGGAAGAACAGGAGCTACCTTTCCCGGCTCCCAGTGAGGGCAAGTTGTACCTGATAACAGCTGTTGTTGATCTGTGGGCATAGGAGGGAGTTATTAGGCTCAAGAGGGAACAGTTGCCTTTCTCAGCAGCTGTCAAACCCCAAAGATTGCCAAGAGGCTTTGGGGTGACAGCTGCTCTATCTGACTTGGAGACAGCAACCCCAGGCTTGGCCTTACCAGACCAAAGGGCCAGCCATCTGCTTCACCACTTACAGCCAAATGCAGCCCCAGGAGCTGGGATAGAAGGTGGGGAGGAAGGTGGCTAGTCAGACTCTAGTCTCACTAACTCACCCTTGGAGCTAATAGGCAGCCCTACTCCCTTCCTGTGGCAGCCCTGCACCCAGCCCTCCCAAGGAGGGAACCTGAGGATGTGTCTGTACTAACTTGAACAGGAATCTTATTTCACAACACTGGGAAAGAACCTAATCTTCCCCACCCCCCACCACTACCCACCATTCCACAGTGGTTTCCCAAACAGTTAGGTAATGATGGTCATGATATGTTTATAATTACTGAAAAAAAATAACTGCCTTTGGCAAAATGAGCCATAAGGCTGAAAATGAGTGATTCATTGGTACAGTGTGGCCCCTTAAATTTTGCCCCAGTTTGGGACACACACCCCTCTAGTAAAGAGGTGGTACCTTGAGGATAGCAGGTTCCCCCAACCTCTTCCTATTAAAACTAAGAGCCAAGCAGCTGCTTAGCCTTTCCTGTTGGTGATTTCCCCAGACTATTCTCTGGGGCTCGGGGCAATGTAAGAAAAATCGTGTAAAAAACAAAACAAAAAAAAAACCTCACTGGTGCTTTTTATTTATTTTTTTAAAGTGTTTTTTTTATATGTAGCAATCCCACCTCCCTTCTCTCCCCCACTATGTTTACATTTTGTTCCTCGGGGAGGGTGGGAGAGGACTAAGGGGAAAGCAGGAAGCTTTGGTTTTTTGCTTCCCAGTTGGGGGAAGGCATCTACCCCAACCCAATGTTTGCTTGGAGCTAGTGGGAGGAGAGACAGTGTCGACCCTATTGCCTTTTCCTTCCAGTATCAATTTAATTGAGTTTCTCTCTGACTCTACTGTCTCTGGAAGCTCCTGGTCTCAAGCTGTCCTGGTCCCAGTCCTATGGAACAGATAGGGATTCATGGCACACTCCTCCTTCCCCTGCCAGTCATCAATCTATCTGCCCGTCGCCACTTTGATTTTTTTAACCATAACATTACCTCCTATGACTCCATCAGGATATAATAAGGAAAACTATGGGCATAAAAGGGCATCAGCATCACCCAGTCTGTTTACCTCAGCCGTCTTTGCTAGCAGCCCCATGGGGTTACAATTAGGTGAGATCAATCATAATTGAGAATGAAGGGGATGATATAAATCACCAGAGACCCTGTCAAGCTGTACTGATGGTGTAACAGAGGCCTTATATTCATGGGTTCTCAGGGGCAGAAAGAGTCATGGAGTAGTTAGCTGCTAATCTAGAGGGCATCCTGTAGTTTCGAATTCTCCTGCTGCAGACCCAACTCCTTCAGTGACTGCAGCTAAATCCTAGCTGCTGTGTACCTATACTTTGGAGCACCTATGCATTTGCTCCCATGCTCTTACCGTTGTCGCTCTGGCTGGATGCACAGTCAGGCATCTGTGGGCTTTTGTTCTTGTCTTCTCGATTAGCGGCAGCCAGAGCCTGAGTACACCCCACAGTTGCTTCAGCCCCCATACGAAACGGCTGCCAGCAGTAACGTGTGCTTGGAGGGGGCAGAGGGAGCAGGGATTGGCCTCCTTCCATCCCTGATAGCCTGTGAATTCCACGGTGTGCCATAGCCTATGGCAGTAGAAGCCCTTGCCTCTCCATCCCCATCTTCCTTAGGCCCGCTGAAAAGCCAAGGTCAGAGGGAGAATGGCCTGGCCTATTCTGGAAGTATCAAGCATTGGATAGAGAGAACCCGGCCCCCAAATCCCCTGGCCTAGAATCCACCTGACCCCATCACCTTGCCTCTCTGTGGTGCCATCTGGTTCTCTATCTCCATCCTACCATTTCATTTGTAGGGTAGGCCTGACCTGGTGCTAGCCCCATGCCAATCAGTATCGGTCCCTTCTAAGTTACTTCCTGGTGCTCTGGAGCCACATAAGTTTCCCTTAATCATGAAGTTTGAAAAGGATGGAAGAGGAGCTCAGGCATGCCTGGCACATGTGGACAAAATGATGGAATCTCTCTCTCTCCCCCTTGTGTTTTATATCCAGCTATGTACCGTATATAGAATTAGTTCTCTCTGATTCCCTGTATTTCCATCCCTTCATATCAGTATTCAAACCCCTCTCACTTTTATGCTTTTACCTCACTCTTGTCTTCACTTTTACATGATTAATAAAGTCTACCCAGCTCCTATTGTCTGGACTGGGCAGAAACCAGGACCTAACAACCTTGCCAGTCTTTTCTTTCAGAATTTTCTGAGTCTCCACCCTTAGCTATCAACACTTCACCACTCCCCCCATCAGCTCTGTCTCTGGGGAGAGGGTGGGAGGGAAGGCAGCTGTCTATGGAAATGAAGAAAGAAGAAGGGGGAGAGGGGGAAAAGCCGTGGTATAGGATTAAAATCTTCTGTCTCTGGGATGCTGAAAGTTTCCATTTCAGTTCAATGTCCTTCACCCCTCCTCAGATAGTCTGTATTTTTCAACCCTCATATGTTAACAGGTCTGCTATTCCACCCAGAAATGCTTCTCTTTCTGTCCCGTGCACAGCCTGGAGCATTCTGCTGAACCTTCCCATGCCCAAGTAGGAAAGGGCAGAGTTGAGGGAGGCCAAGGGTTTGTCCGCTAGGCCTCTTCTCTGGGATATATTCTAGAACCCATTTTTCCTATCCCATTAAACAACAGTTTCTGTCTTCCACAGGAGAGAAAGGAAGCTTTTCTCTCTGAGGTGAGCTGCATTTGTGGGCCATTACACGTGAATCTCCAAATAAATCTGTAATGGTGAAAGAGGGTCAAAGGAAGCCTTCAGGGAGACAATGTCAATAATAGACTTTAGAAATAACAGAATTGTTGTCCCCGACTTGTCCCCCCCCAGCCATTCTCTCATCTCACTTCATTATTACCCTCATCCAATCTATGCCATCACAAAACATGCAAAACTAAATCACAAAGCCATTTAAATAAGGCTTCCACATTGGCTTAAAAAAATTTTTAAGCCTGCAACTCCTTATTTTACCCAGACTGCTGAAGCAGCCACCCAAAGGCACAACCCCACTATGGTTGGCATAGGAACTTTGACCCACTCTGTTTTCCAATCTGGACCTGTTCTCTCTTCCTTGGGCAGTCTGGTGACACCCCTACTCCCAGGGACTTATGATATAGGTGCCAGACTTAGTGCATACACCCTATGAATTGATTAGATCTGCTGCATCCCAGAACTCCTGAGGTCAAGTGAATTGCTAGCCTCAGCCTACTCAGGAGCAGGAATTACAGGTGTACATCACCATGCCCAGCATCAGATTGATTTTTTAAAAGAGAGAGGGAGTTGGCCTGTGAAAATATTTGCCAGCCTTCAAGTTATGTATCAGCCTTATCCCGTCAGATAAAAACCTCTCTGTGCTGTACAAATCCCAGTTGAAAAGAATACAACTTGCCTGTAAGAGAAAAAAAGATAGCCCTCACACACCATGATTTTCATGAATTACTATGAGAAAAGGGAAATAGTTTAGACCTCATTAATTATGATGTGTTTATTGGGGGGAAGGGGAAGATGGAGATTAAGGACCGACTTGAATTAAGAAAACAGGCTGAATTCAAAAGATAATTTTTAGAGAAATTGTTTTATTACTTTCAGGTACACACAATGATTCCAGATAACTTCTAAGCACTTATTAAGTAAATAAAGGTCCTACTGAGAATGTTTTCATACAAAGATAAGACGTGTGTAATTGGCACATTAATTATTTACATGTAAATGAATACTGCTCAAGTACTTGAAGACATCTTAATTGCTCAAACAGGTTAATCATTCCCCTTACTATCTTGTTTATTCCATGAGTTTGTTTGGCAGGACTTTCTTCACCAGTGATGCAAAGATAAATTTTGGTCTAACCCCTTGGGATTATCATAGATTATAAATTACTGGAGTATCCAGATTCCTCTTAAACTCCATACCAGGACTTTTTTGGTTCAGATCAATATTTTATCAATCACTCATTTACATTACTGAGTTGTGCTGCCTTTTTAGATGGGGGTGGGGGGTACATTTCCTGTTTTATGATAGAATAGGCTGGCACACTTACCTCAACCTCCTCCCTCAACCTAATACTCACTCCCTGCCCTTGTTTAACATTGGCTAAGCCAGGCAGCATCTTTCCCTCTCTTGTTCCAAGCAAAACATTGTTATCAAATGAAGAACAGTGGTGACAAAGAGGCCTAGGATAATGACAGACACAGAGGAAACCTCTGAATGGGGCCATAACCATGATATCCCAGACTCCCTCAATACTTACCATGTAGGGGAGTGCCCAGAGCTGGAATCCCTGAAGACAGTACCTGGCAGGTTATGGTGACAGGTCACCCCAGAGCAGCTGGAGGAATAACTTTCCAAGACCATCCCTAAACAAACCCGGGGAACACATATCTGGACTTTCATCTAGCTCCCAGCTGGAGAGTGTTAAGAACAATGAGCTGGTATGGAAAGGCAAGGAATGCTGGGACTTGAGTGCAATGACCCTTCTGCTTATGTTCTTTCTGGAATACAGCTTCTGGAACCCACAGGCTTTATTAAACTTACACAGTTTCTGTTGGGGGTGGGGTAGATGACCAGAAGGTCTCTCTCTCTCTCTCTCATGTACTAAACCAACATTCTTTTCTTTGGAATTGTTAAACTCTGACTCTAGGACCACTTAGATGCCCTCCTACCACTTGGACGCCTTCTGATTGAAGATACATCCATTTGTTTTCCAGCAAAGTCAAGTTAGAAAGAAGGAAGAAGGAGCCAGGGAGAGGGATCACTTGGAGAGGGGGGAGGAGGATGGAAGGAAGGAAGGAAGGAAGGAAGGAAGGAAGGAAGGAAGGAAGGAAGGAAGGAAGGAAGGAAAGAAATCAGGCTGTCGCTAGAAACATGAGACTGTAGGTCCCATTCCTGCAACTCTTAGTCATAAGAAAAACCCAGAGCAGCTCGATCTTCTCTGGCAGGAACAATTTATTATCAGTAAGGACAAGCCATATTTTCATTACATGATCAGTAAACAAATTCTAAAACTACAGTTTAAGAGATCTTATAGAAAGGTAGTTTGATGTTGTAGAAAAAGACCTGAACCTGGAATCAGAAGATGTAGGTCTAAGTCTTGACTTTGCCATTAATTCACTGTGTGACCTCAGGCAAAAAGTCACTATCCCTCAGTGCCTTTCTCAGCCCTAGGACTAAGTAGGCTGATGGTTTCATCTACCTCTTCCAGCTTCAGTTCATTTTACAAACGAGGCAGATGGACCCCATTGCTGCTTGCTCTCCTGACACCCGAAATAGTCCAATGTTGTCCAACTGATGGAGCTCCCTTAAGCTAAGAGAGGAGGCTCTTGTGCTTTTGAGAGGTGGATGACAAAAGAAAATATTCTTTCTCCCCTGTGGGCCTTGATTTCGTCACATGCAAAATGAGGAGGTTGAACCTATGAGCTGGGAAGGGCCTTGACATTCTATGATTTACCCTGTGCAAGTGGTAACTATCATAACCTCTTGGCCACAATATCACATGTAAGCTTGACCTCCCATTGGTGCAACATTGGGAACCACGTCCTCCTAATGGAAAGGATGCCAAACTCCAGGAGAGACCTTTGGGGAAAGGGAGGTTTAACCCACAATGGCTCTGATCCTAGGGGTGGGAAGAAAACTAGGTGTTAGTCAAAGAAATTCTTCTGTGTCTGATAGGATATTTGTAATGAGAGAATTGGAGGTTCCCAATGCTTTACCACCGAGGTAAACCTTGCTTTTAGCTCACTGCTACCATCACTCTGGAAATTCATCTTCCCAGATGGCACTGACCTTAAGTAGTTGCCCACCAATGTAATGCTGATAATCAGACACCCAGTCCATGAAAGTTGCCTTTTGGGGAAGGAAAAGTCATCTGGGAGCCAGGGGGAGGGGCAAGTAGAGGAAGGTGTCTAATTTTAAATCAGTGGGGAATTTTGTCACAAAATCCAACACAGCTTTCCAGTAAAGATTAACAGCCATCAAGAAAAATAATAGGGTTAGCCCTGGGGAAGAGCATAAATCAGATGGCTGCTTGGCAGTTTGGTAGTTAGGAATCAGACCCCAGCTACTTTGTCCCTAATCATCAGCACCCCAATAATTCTGTGTTGCAGGAAGGGGCCTTCTGATGTGGACATGCTTGGCACCTTCACAGCTTCAGGAGTTGTAAGGGTAGTCTGCCCATAAGGCATTGATCTCCAAGAAATCGACTGATGGAGATGAAATTGTCTCCGACTAGTATTCTTTATAAAAATGGTTCTTGGGATTTGAAAGAGCATCTTTCTCCCAAGTCTCAAAACATTTCCAGTAGCAGGGTAAAATGGTATAATGGGGAGAGTACTGCCTCTGTAGTCAGGGTTTAAGATGAACCTCTGCTTCAGACTGCATATCTGACCTGGGACAAGTCACTTCGAATCTCTCTGGGACTCAGTTGCCTTATCTGAAGTTACCTTATCTGAGAGGATGGGATTAGATGCCCTCTAAAGTCCTTTGCAGTTATATCAACAATCTGTCCACTTAATTGTCTCTCTCCAAATGCTTGGAATCTTAGGAAGGCTGTGACTTCTTTGAAATCATTTTGAATGAGGAAAGTAGGAAGGTAGGAAGGTAAAAAGGGAAGGCAGGAGGGAGGGGAAGGAAAGGAGGGAAGGAAAGATCCAGGGAAGGAAAGGAAAATGAAGTATTTATTAAATATTTACTATGTTCAAGCACAGTGCTATGTGCTATGGGTACAAATATAAAAGTAAACAAAGCCAAGCCAATGAATTCTGTTGTTGTTTTTTGGCTAGGCAATGGGGTTAAGTGACTTGCCCAGGGTCACACTGCTAGTGAGTGTTATGTGGCTGAGGCAGGATTTGAACTCAGGTCCTCCTGAATCCAGGGCTGGTATGTTATCCACAGCACCACCTAGCTGCCCCGCTAAGCCAATGAATTCTGGAAGTAATGTCTAATAGACCGTAAAGCTTTCCTGGGCCTTGCCATTCCTTCCACCACAGAAACCTTAAGACTTCCAGGCCTCCCCATCTGCTATGTGGCTGACGGTGTTTTATGTGTTATCTCCACGAATATAAGAGCTTCTTGAGCACAGGGATGGTCTTGCCTTATCTATTTGTGTCCCCAGAACTTATCATATAACTTAGCACACAATAATGCTTGATAAATGCTTTCTAATCCATTTATTCAATAGGCTATATGACATTAATGGTTGTTTTTTGGGGGGAAGGGGCTCCCCATTTTGTTGTGGTTTGCCATGGGTTGGAAACTCTAGCCTCCAGCTTGGGTATCATCAAGATTGATTATGTCAGTGTCAGGTTTCAAAGAATGTGAAGCTGGAAGGGGATTGTGACATCAACCAATTCCTCTTCCTCTTCTTAAAGATGAGACATCTGAGACCCAGAGAAGTCAAATTATTTGCCCAAGGCCACACAGCAAAGCTGGAATTCAAACTCCAGCTCTTCTGATTCCTAATTCTATTAAACTCTATGCTAGGGGAAGGGAAGATTATAGTACAACAGAACCAGACATAGGGAGGGAGGGAGGGGATCAGCCCCAGCAACAGATGGCCCACAGATCAGCTCTAGCTCAGGAATGCAAAACAGATTATCAAAAAATAGACAACAGAGTGGGGAGGCATCAGCCTAGGCTTCATCCAGGGAAACACTCCCACACAGCCTGCCTCTGCATGCCAGGGGTGAAGGACTAGGTGGCTTGAGAATAGTCTGATTCCCCACTGGTTGTAACAGAAATGAGAAAGAGGCCGTCCCCCCATAAATGAGGACTCCCCTCAGCCCAACACTCTCACACCATCCTCAAAGCCATGAGTAAAACAGAAAAATGTTAGGGTGGAGAATAGTTTGCATGACTAGAGGGACCAGATTGGCTTTTGTAGGATACAAGGGCAACAGAGTTGCTGATCAGCTGCTCCACAGAGACCTTCCCAGTCTTGGGTTTTTCCCTTAAGGCTCAGTTCTATTGCTTGAGACTCCACAGTCTCGGGCTCCAATACCTTCTCTATCCCTAGAGGTAGCTGTGTGAGACAGTGGATACAGCGGTGGGCCTGAAGCCAGGAAAATCTGAGTTCAAATACAGTGCAACATTTGCTAGCTGTGTGACCTTGGGCAAGTCACTTTAACCTGCTTCCCCAACTGTAAAATGGTGATAACACCCTACTTCCAAAGGCTGTCATGAGGATCAAATATTTTGAAAGCATTTATCACAGTGCCTGGCACATAGTAGGTGCTTAATAAATGCTAATGGCCTTCCTTCCCTAGTCTCTTCTCAAGATTCCTTTTATTCCTAACCCCACCCCCAAGTATACAAGTGAGTTCTGAGCCAATCCAGCCAAAAATTGGCCTGGCTGTGCTAGGCCCTCCAGAATCCCAGTGAAATAAGAAAGAGCAGGGAAAAAAAAAGACAAACCTTTATTTCAGAAAAAAAATTAAATTAGCATGAAAAATTTCCTACTTCACTTTTCAAAACAGAAACAAGCCAGAGACCAAAAGATTCCCTAATAAACCTTCCCAGGGTGGGGCCATAGCACTTCCCATCAAGGGAGAACAGGTCAACAGGCAGCTGCAGAACAAACGAGTTGACATCCTGAAGCCCTGTGAGGATGGACCCGGGAGAAGCAAACACAGTAGAAAGGGGGTGCTACCGAGCAGGTGGAGGGAATCAGGCAGACAGAGGC